TGTTGTCCTAAGCTTTCCGACTTGTACAGAAGTCCATCGTCAGAGGTAATAGCAGCAACAGAACATGCCACAATTATAGGGCATGAGGGCCAATCATCGAACGACGGCGCAAGACTGGAGGTGACTCTGTACGCCCTGAAGAGGCGTATAACGAGACTCAGAATGCACTCACAATTGAATACCTCATGAGGCTGATGGAATTCTGCCACCTTACTTTCTCCACTATTGCGGGAGAGACCTATGCAGAAATCAGGGGAACCCCAATGTGCTAACCGGTCTCCGGTTTTGTGTCGGAACTAGTCATACAGGAGTTAGAAAAGATTGCTTTCATCTAATATGAACTGGTATTTTGGCGCCGTTACGTAGACGACACGCCGTCATCGGCGACTATTTTGGTGGCTGCGAAGTTAAACTCGTCGTTGACTGTGTGACGAGGCGACGTATTATCACAAGTGGCCGTCCCCACCTACGAAATGGGTCACGAGTTTAACCTCACAGCCACCAAAATAGTCGCCCACGCCGGAAACAAAACAGGCCGAGAATTGCTTGAAGCCTGTGCCTCGGATGAGAACTCGGTCAATCGACTTATCGGTCTGCCACCGGCGTATAGAGCCCTGCATAGTCAACCCCAGTCTTGCGCCGTCGGTCGATGATTGGCCTACATGCCTTATAACTGTCGTTTTTTCTGTTGCTGCTACTACCTCCGACGATGAACTCCTGCACGAGTTTGACAGCTCAGGAAAATAAACGCAGTGTTCCGGTGCTCGACTCTTCTTTTTCACTTATGCAATACTTACTTTTATCAGCCATTCCGCCCATGTCCGTTTTCGGTGTCCGTTTTCATCTGGGGCCCTCCATTGTGTGAAAATCTGGTTTATTGTGCTGAGGCAGGCCATGTTTAGCACTCGCAGGCGCCTTGTCTGGCTCTGTCAGCCGCTTGCGCGAGTCCTGGCATCAGATGACTGAACGACTTAGCCGGCGGACCGGCGCGTGGGTGAGATGGGGCCTGCGGAATCCGTTCCCACTGCATTCGCAGCAGAATCCTCCCTATAAACAGTCTGACGTAGTAAATATCGTGGCTTGGAAGACCGCCAGCTGCCGGGGTAACTCAGTCCTCCCCTCAGAACGGGGAATCGGGCAAGAATGACTCTCTTTCTCAATGTGGCCCCTCTGACACACCCACTCAGATGGAATGGCTGAGTGCCCCTGGCTTTATGGAAACCTAGTCCGTCTTTCGCGGAGCAGGCGAGTGTGTGTGACAAGCGTAGGTAAGCGGTATTGTGCTGTTAACCACTGCACATGACGGCGCCTCCGGTTTTCTTTCCTTTGTCTTGACACTGGGCTCAGGTGGGTGAGGAAGAAGGTAATAAAGTATAGCGCATGACTGATCTCATGAAATGCTGTCCAAAATTCTGAAATGCGTTTTCAATTAGGAAAGATTACCTAAGTGGGGTTGTAATACTGATTATCATGTAGCCTACACTCAGTAATGACTTCTTAAGTAGCACGCACTTTTCACATTGATTTTCGATGGTCTTATAAATTTGATTATATTTTATAGAAAACATACACAGAAATATTATTTTCGTTAAGTTTGGTAGAAAATCGCTTCTACTTTGCATTTTATAGTCTGAGAAAAGGGTACATTTAGGTTTTGAAAAAGTTTTCAGATTCTCAAAGAATTTTGAGCCAGATCAGCCGTTGCATTAGCGCTCAACGATTTCAGTCTGCAAAGTGCATACTTTCCACGTAAGAAAAGCCGTATATTTCTCTATGTCTTCAGGTAAATACCCCATAGACTGAATAAAACTTTGCAATGGATGCGGGCTGTTTTGTACATTTCATGAAGAGCATTAGTAAACGGAAATGTGCGATGCTGTATGTATGCACATCGCACGGTCTCAAAAACTCCATAATGAAAAACTTTTTCAAAACTTAAATATACACTTTCTTAGTGCATAAAATGTAAAGATGTTATTTTCTACCAAACTTGTATAATGAAGCATATTTTTGTGCATGTTTTCTATAAAATATGTTTGAATTTATAAGACCATCGAAAATCAGTGTGAAAAGTGCATGCTACTTAAGTAGTCATTTTCTACTGAGTACAGTTTTTGCAGGAGGTCGAAAAGAATTGTATTTAAAAGCCGACATCTCAGCAAATTCAAAATGTCATAGAGAGGAGGGGAATTGTTGGTACAATTAATATCTACTTCATCTTAAACCAAATCATTCGCATATCGTTTCAGCATCCACATCTTGGTACCGCTGTGGACGTCACCGTTCTTGACGACATGACGCGACTTAGATCAACTTCTCTCGTCTCGCTTTCCTTGCTCCACAGAATACGGCAGGATTGTAAGCGGCTTTTGTCATCTATAATTCAAGCCTGGGTTGCCAAAATACTCAGAAGTTATCACCCACTGGGGACGGCCGTCTGTGCTCGTTGGTGCGCGTCTCACTGCGCGGGAATTTTGTGCGATTTAAACGATACTAAGCTCAGGGCAGATCAATGTCCCTGATCATCTTTACTTGGATCTTTCACAAGTTTTAACTTAATGGGGGTGATTTGGCAGGTTTGCATAGTTCACCTGACCCAAATGTTACAAACTCGGCTGCGTGGGTGAGATTGAAACCCAAGACAGTAAGGACATGGTCTGAATACAGCCAGCACTCTAACCATCTGAGTCCCGTGAGCTTTGAGTTTTTCACTTGGGTCATTTCAGCTAAGAAAATTTGCCAAAGACTCCTATTAGGTTAGAACTTGTCAATGATCTGACTGAAGATGTTCAGAGAGATCGGCCTGACCTGAACTTCGTACTGTTTAGATCGTTTGGAAGGCTGTCAATGACCGAGGTAACTGGCTTCCTATCTGGTCTGAGAATCTGGCTCAGCGCCTTTTTTAAAACGTGGCCTCCATGGCACACCTGTCAGGGGGGGATTTTAGTCGCCCCTGTGAAGGTCTGGCGCATACAACGAAGACCTCTCAATGTACAGCCCGCGTAGATGAACTGTCTAGCTTTACCTGCCTGCGACTCTCTCTGATGATGGGTTAGGGTGAGAATCCGAAACGCCAGGCCAATATATTTCTTCTTCCAGTGATCGCATCTTCGTCTACAGTCTAAATTTGCTAGACATTGAGACATATGCGCGTGAAATTGGATGTTCAACATCACGGACGCATGGTGGGAACTCTTGGGTGCTGATTGGACACAACTCAAACTATGACGTTCGCCCCTGCTATGTACCCAGAGGTGTCTCCTAAAGTCTATCACTTGTGCTATCTGCTGTGCTTAGTACAGGTCCTGGCTAAATTGCATAGGAAACACTGAAGGTGCAGCTTAACGAACGTGGCTTCGTTGTTACATATACTGTTAAACTTCTAACCGAAAAAAACACTGCGAAACTCTCGGATGATTCTTGCTTGCGGTTGAAAAGGACTTTTTATGATTGTTGTGAATCGGTCCAGATTTAGTTGTCCATGATTATCTATGACGTTATTTCCAGACTGAAGTTCCTCCGGCCTAATCTCGGAGAACTGGCGGCAGCAGTACCTCGGGATCTGGCGTTGCAAGAGGGCACGGGTGTCCCAGCGGCATTCACCAAGCTGGAGTAAGTGCAGGACGGAAAAAACAACGGCTTCCTCGGTCGTCATCGGTTTTGTCAGATGGGCCAGGGGTGGATTTCTGTCCTGCAGCCCCAGTTGCAAGAAAGAAGCCAAAGCCACCTGTAGTACGGGAATGGTGGTAATTGGGGGAACCACGCCTACTCAAATATGATTCAGTAGGCGGACTGTGTGACATCGTCAAGTGGGGCTGCAGAGCCAAACCTCGGCGCGCCAGGAATCCAGTCAAAGCATCGGCCATTTTATGACGAATCCAGATTTCATCACCCAGGACTGCCAATATAAGGCGGTTAGGGCAGACAACCTTGAGCATTCGGAGCTCGTCCAGCAATTAATCGACGATTTGCCTGATGAGAAGGCCCCTGAAAGCCGCCTATCATAGAAGTGAGATCTGTCATACGAGAAGGCTTACGATATCGCCCGTCACCAGGGGAGCATATGGCATGACCTTCAGTAGCTGATTCACCGCTGAGTTTCCCGCATAAACGGCAACAGCCAGCTTCTTCATAACAACTACCGCTGTAATTGGCATCATATCCCTTGGTCAGATTGTAGACATAAGAAGACGGCTACCCGTTTTACAAGAAAATGGACAACACAGTACCAGCATATTTCTCCCAAAAGTATGACGGAACACTAACACGTGCGTCACGTATTCTAATCCAGCTGGGGAAGGCGAAGCGATGCTCCGAATGTTTCCAGCCGACACTCCTCTCCTATTGCTCTGCACCATCACGCTTCCGTTCAAGGGTCATCCTGTAAAGTTAAAAAAAATCGTACTGGTCCAGTTGTTACTCTCATCAACGAAGCCTCCCCTTCAGAAATTCGTCTTCTTCGGCACAGGGCAGATTCGAGGGGTCTTTAAGGCCAAAGTTGAACTCCACTACGTAGCTGGAGGAAGGAAGTAGAAAAATCTCCTCACATGGAATTAAATCAAATGTGCACATTTGTGCTATTCCACATTAATCAGATTGCTGTTAAGCCGACTAACGATTTCCTACCGGAAAATCATGACTATTACACTACCCACGACTGCGGTCTGCTTGCAAAATTTGAATTTTAATGAGATGTTCAGCCACGTCTTTTCAGACCTCTTCAGTTTCCTATACAGCCGCATCAAAGGTCGAAGGAGTACTGGATCGCCTGAATAAGGTGGACACGATTGAAGCATACAATTATCTCCCTCTCTCTCTTGCTCTCTCTCTCTCTCTTGTTCAGTGACTATGGATCAGATGGACCAAGACGCCTGGGGCACCGTCACCAGTGACCGTTCCGGCGTGTTAAGTTCCTGACCACTGAGTCAGATGCCACGGTCTCTTCGTCAGCACAATTCCTGGAGAAACTCAAAGGGGTAAGCCTCCATCCAAATAAGGTCATGGTAACGTTTGATGTTACATCCATCTTCGCTTCTACTCCCCAGGACCTGGCAATCGAGACAATCAGACTGCTTCTACAAAGCAAATACGATGAAACGGAGAATCACCTTGGAGACGCCCAAGTCCTTCAGCTCCTGAAGCTCTGTCTCTGGACGTATTTCACGTTCGACAGGACAATCTACGAACAAGTGAAGGACACACCAATGCGTTCGCCGATTTCGGAATTCCTTGCCGAGGCGGTCCTGCAACGGTTAGATTCGCTGGTCTTCCAACACCACAGACTGAAGTTTTGGACTCGGTATGTGGATGATACCTTCGTCGATATCGAACGGGATCAACTGCTGACATTCAAGACACGTCTGAATGCAGTCTTCCCGGACATAAAATTTACGATGGAGGAGGGAAAAAATAACCAGCTGGCATTCCTTGATGTCCACGTATGCCGCAAAGATTGTGGTGGACTAAAGACCAATGTGTTCAGGAAAGCGACACATATGACGCAAGTACTGAACTTCAACAGCAACCACCCAATCAGCCACAAAATCACTTGTTACGGACTCACTATCGGTGTGTCGAAACGCACTGCAGTGAGTCGGAAGACAAGATTGCCGAACTACAATATCTCCGACGGGTCTTCAAAGCCCATGGCTACGAGCGCAACTTCGTCAACCGGTGCATCCGCAAAAGGGACGAAAGGCCTAACCGCATGGCCACTAAATTTTGGCGAGCGCTTCTATATGTCAAGAACGTTCCGGAAGCTGTTGGCTGCCTTCTCGCACCATTTGGTGTTGGAGTTGCACAAAGACCGGAGGCAACCATCAGGCGTCTTGGTAATGAAACCGAAAGACCCGCTGCCACGGCAAGAAACGTCTGGAGTCGCATATCGGATCTGGTGCAGTTGCGGACAAAGCAACTACGTCGGAGAAACCGGAAGACAACTCCAAACGCGAATGGCCGAACAGGCTGCAGCGGTGCGGATAAATGACGCGCCTCATTCGACGGGTTCTGGCCACACATTCAAATTTGACGAGGCCAAACTTCTCGCTAGAGGTGACAGCCGCGTTAGCCGGCAGCTGCTTGAGTCATGGTTTACTGTCCCCCAGTCCATTAAAAAGTGCAACGATCTTCCTCTTCAATGCTCGGTGTTGAATCTTCACCTCGGCGGAGTAATTGGCCACGCGGGGAGCGCACTGGTGAACACTGTTTTTAAAGCTAGAGTTGGTGGGTCAGATGGCCGAGCAATCATCACACCAGCATCCAACGCATGTGATGAAATTGCAGCACGTAACGACGCGAATGTCGGCCGTCAAGCCATTAGAACACCACGGGCAACAACCCCTGAACAAGGGCGGAGACGTGAGTATTAATAGGTATGCGGTAGCATGGCTATTGCATCCTATAAATACTGCAGCCTAATGTGCATGAAATACCCGTATTTGCTTATGTCTCTTATTATGGGTTTGAGCAGGAATCCGAAACGTCAGGCTAATAAAACATTTGTCCCAGCGATCGTGTCGCCTCCTTCAACTCACGTTCTTTGCTGGATCAATGGCGTATGGAGGCCCTAAATTAAATAAATCTTACCTCCATTTCCTCGAACAGCGATTTAAGCCCCTTAGAAGGTTACAGCGCCCGAACAATTCCAGTCAATTGCGCGCGTTCCTTGGGTCAGTTTTCACTGCAGTCGCTTGGCTGAAATTTTGAATCCCCTTCATCTTCAACTTTAAAAGAATCGTCGCTGGAACTGGTCGGCGGTCGAAAAATAGGCTCTTGCACCGCAAAATGACTCCTAGCTCTCCTTCTGCCCCGGTTCATCACCATAAAAAGTCTATCCTACTAAAGTGCGATGTTTTCCCGTACGGCTGGGATCTGACTGTAATTCAGTAAATGCCTTCTAGTATCGAGATAATGATTACTTTTATAGACGGAAACCAACTACAGTACGGGACCTATAGCAGGGAACCTGGTGATAGGAACTGATATGAGAATTGTTGGATGCCTTAAGTGCTGCATGCTTTGCTTTCTCATCCTATCTTTTCAAGGAAATGTCCGTTTCTTGTGTAAAAGATGTGTCCACGTAATGTGATCAAACAGAACTGTCATACATTTGAGCGAAAATGGACGTTGCGATGTGTTCGGCAGCTTCTTATGCTTTTGCTTATCCTAGACATCGATTACGCATTCGAACTTGGTTTTCTTCGGGAGGAGAGTAATTTACTCTCGAGACTTTAATTAAACGGAGTTATCCCCACTTGAAAACCGATTATTTATCCGGTGCTAACCGCGGGAATCAGTTTGCTAAAACACAAGTTATTTAAAGACAACCAGACGTTTTACCGATTTGTAAGTCGGACTAGTACATCTGTGCGATTGCGTGTCCTGAAGTGCAGTCGTAACGCACACGGACAAAAGTTTGTTTCAATGGGGTGAAATTATTTTGTCATTTGGAAAATTTTTATGAATTGACACAGAAATGACTACCACCAAATAGTCATTTTCAATATTGGGCATGTGGAACATTGCTTTTCGCGCGGTCTAGCTACGGTGCATAAGTAATTTAGAAATGGAACAAGCAAAACATGGTAAGATGCGGTTATGTAGTCCCACCTAATGAACACAACAGTGTTGGGGTTGGGGGTTATGTTTAGGTGGTAGGGTTAGGGAGTTAGGGTTGGGGGTTAGGGCTAGGGTAACTATTTCTCAACCGTGCATTTCCAATAGCTTTTTTTGCAAGGAACTACTCGACCTCGTCGCCTGTGCGCTCCCCGGTTCCACATGCAAAAGCCCCTATTACCACCGGTCCCGTATTACAGGTGGCTAGGGTTTGTTTACTTCAGGTGGAGCTACATAACCGCATCTGACCCAAGACATAAACAGATTCAGTGAAATATCAGTAGTTATGTGGCCACTCCGCAGTGAATTCATGATCGTAGAAAGCAACCTGCATGTGAGTGAAGGTGGCGAAAATGGACGCAGTATAAAGGGCACGTTCTTACGTTTGAAGTAGGAATATGTCAGTATTTTTTAGCAACATGAAAGAAGCAGTCACAGGTGTCAAACTTTTCTTGGCTTTATCGTGTAAAAAATAAACAGACTCCGTCAACAGAATGCCGTATTTAAGCAGTCCTTAAAAAGTTAACTTACTAGAAAATGATCTCTAATAGATCGAAAGCATATTCCTTATTGATTTTTGATGTTGACCTTCATTTTATTCGATGAAGAGGTTTCCTGCTAAGATGAGTCCTCAAATGTGACCCAAACGACCTCTAACATGAAAAAGAACGCCTGAACACCTACTACTTCGCTAAATACCTTCAAGAAGTATCTTATTTAAAGGGTATATTTCAAGGCCGATCTGAAATTCAACGTAATTCAGAACAAACGGAAAGTATAAATTAATTTCATGGAAAAGTTCTATTTTACGACAACCCCTGTCAATCCTACTAAAATTTATTAATTATTGAACCGCCTGGCAACATCTGCCCTCATGAAACCTTTTTTCCTATGTCGTCCGTATTGGCAAAATCAAGCAAAATCATGTTTGCCGTATCTTAATCAATTCAAAGGCGTAAAGAATACCACGAATCCCCGGGAAACAGTTTTTTTAATTTATACTCATAATGCAGGCTGTTGGCAAACCGCCGTACCTGAAATTAAACTAAGTCTTAAAACATATTTAGATGTAAACCTCACTGAAAGAGTATTTTTTTAATGTTATTCTATTTCTGCTGTCATAATTACTCAGTTTTTTGCGTGAACAGACAAAATCACAACCATTTTTGGCGTTTTTTCTAAACTTTTTTTCTAAAAATATGGCATTTCTAAACCACGTAACATTGTTTTTGATATTTTTTATATTTTTACTTCCGTCAGAGTTGTTATTTATTAACGTACGTAGATATCGGGTCCACGTACTGATGTCGGCTCGCGAGTGATTAAAACCATTCGTAAATATCGACATGTATTAGCTCACGAACTGTGTAGGGATTATGTTTGGCCCAAAACCCTCTAATTCATATCTTTTTGGCGACCCTTCGATATTCAAACCTATCTACAACATCCCTCAGGTTTACTGGGTGAAAAATAAGGAGTATAACAAAGTGTCTTCTCCGAAAATACAAAGATGGGCATGCACTTTCCACCTACAATTATGAAATATTTTGCGGCTGGAGCAAATTTATTGGCCGTAGACGATGCCGTTAGAGGAGCACCTGCATTCGAGTCCGGCACTTTTTTGTAGAACGTAGTCAACCCATCGACACTAACCTTTAACTAAAGGAAAAATACCCATTCTAGTAAAACTTCCTCTTCCCCTCCTGGTGTTCAACGATTCTACAGGCATCCGGACGCATTTAGTCAACAGGGCGGTTTCGAATTATGCGGCAATCGAGTGGCCCTAACCGATCCCGGGATTCGAAACGGGCCTAATTAGTAATCGGGCGTTTTAGGTCCAACGCTTGCCAACTGATCCACGCACCAGTTGTCTCTTCGGTTGCAGAGGTATTACCTATCGCATTACTTCAGTCTGAGCTAAGGAGACCAATGCGAATCGAATTCCTACCCTTCTCAAAACCAGTGCGTTCCAACGACAGGACGACTGGATGCGTGTGGGCATGGTCGCTTACCGAGCGCACTACATCGACCCCTGCGTCCATTTCCAGCGAGCGCCGTCGTACGGTCGCATTAAGGTGAGAGAGTAGTCATGCTGTCAATCCCACGAGCGGTTGATAAGGCTGAATGCAACTAACGGAGGGTGAGATTGTTGTGCAGCGGTTGAATGGGCACTTCGCCTCCCCCCTCTTCTCGCGTGCCACGTGCGTGACTGTCCTCCAAGCGATAAGAGCGAAGCTTTAATGCCAGCGCTTCGTTGACAACATAATGTCTGTTCACTCGCCGGTCACTCGTGCCTTCCGCACCAAGTACTGGGAGCCCGGAGCTGGTGAGGACCTCAAACACTCCGGCCCGCAGTCGAGTCTACTTAAACCGCAGGACCACACACAACGAAGACCTGGCGCAGGCGTTGCTAGTTTTGACTATCTTCCATTTAACGTCTCTCTGACGCTAGAAGTGTTCTTCGGCTACCCACGCCCTCTCTTTCCTAACCTCCGTCGACCCCAACAAACATCAGTAGGATACCTGTGACAGGTCACCAGTCGACTTTTTAAGACGAAACGTCACCCCCGATGTCCTGGCCGTCTTAGGCCCCAAACTACGGCGGCGAGACCCAGGGATAGCGTTACAGATCTCACGGGTCGAGGATCAGCAGGGGCTCCCGACTCAGCCTTATCGCGAACACCATCTCTTCCACCCCTACCTCGCCCCTTCTGACTACAAGACTGTTCATATGGCGTTGCGTTCTCACAATCTCTGATGATGGTCTCCAAGACGAGACTGAAAGCTCAGGCTGATGCACACACAGTGATTGCGCATTCATCCTCTTTGCTTCCGACCTCATTTGTTGGATGAATAGCATGCCGAGGCAACACCTCAACACATGCAACGTTAGAGTCAAGAAAACAGTAGAGGACGGGAATGTTTGAGCGCAAGAAGTGGGGATCAGTTTTGAGTAAAAAAAATACATTATAATTTTCTTCTGCTCTGATGAGCTGGACCTGATAGGATGATGATGATGATTCTTCAAAGTGGCAAAAAGAGACCACTAGTTCCACACCGGCAAACGAGGACAAAACAGTTTCTGACAGAGATGCAAAAATGATTCGCGAAGTAAATGCTCTGGCGATGAATGAAGTTGGGGTTAAAATGCATCATCCGGAAGTGTGGAATGGAACCCCTGAACCGTATTGGGCTATCGGCGACGTTTGGGATCAAACTTTTTGCCAGCAGTCAGAGAGGGCCGTTTTCCGGCAGCCTCCTTTTTCGCCGGTTGTGCAGGTTTCTAAAAAGGTGAAAGGAAAAACGACTTTATTGGCTATCGAGTACTGCTGGTGGCAAGCAAGCGTGCTCCAGTAAAAATGATGCTCACTGGTTGAGTACTGGCAGCATAAGCATCTGGCAGATTTTTGCTAACGCAGGACTGAGAGCACCACACCTCACTTCGGGAGTTATTTGGGCTGAGGGGACTGGCCTGGGACTTGGCAGATATATAATTCTCCCAGCAGAAAACGCCGAATTATTCGCGTATTATCTGTGAGAACGAAGAGAGCATTGTGCAGGGACGCGCACTGATCGCGTTACAGAACTCGCTCGTCTCGTTGTTCTTTGGGCCTCGCAACTGTTGCTAATGTGCCCGATCGAAACCGACAAGACAACGAGTCCGTGGCCCAGTGGTTGGGTCGTTTAAATCCAAACCAACAGGTCGCGAGTTCCAGCCTCGGGGGCTGCATACCTCGGGGTTGGGTATGGCTGA